CTGAGGGAGAATTTATCCTCCCCCTTGGGGAAATTCTATGAAATGCTTCCCCACAATTTACCCACTTACGAATTGGGCGAGGATGTCAAGGGACCCCCAAATATACTCATTCCCCTTAGATCTAGTCTATATACCTGCATCTCCTCTCCAACCCTGCTACAATGAATTTTACAGTCTCGGTTTGATCACCCTCAGAAGGAGATTTTGTCGTGACGGAGGCCAAAACAGTAACAGCTGCCAAGCAATCGTTATTATAACAGCAAAACACACTGAATGCTGGGATGGTGCCATGGGTGGGGTTCAACTGCGTGGAGGTTTTATAGGATGCCCATGTGTGTTGGAAACTCGGTACTAAAAAGTCTATTTGCAAACATTGTCCTCAACATTTGTAGTTTTTCTTAAGAGTCAAAGTAAACAGGGAAATGATATGAAAAGGTTTTATGGGCATTTCTCTGAATGGGATATACATGCAAAACTATTCTCTCTAATGACCACTCTTTTTTCTTTTCTTTCAGGGGGCGGAAACACACGCATTTTAAAAGGAGCCACGATCCATTTCAGTGCTTCTTGCATTGCTGAGCTTGGTGTCCTTGCTGGGTAACGTTCTCACATCTTCGCCTTTGAGATGGTTTGCTGCCTATGTGTGAAATTAAAAATGAATTTCTCTTATTTAAAAGTGGTGGTGAACAAGGGGGGGGGGGGGAGAGGCTTTGTTTCAGGAGGTCTGCACAACTTGAATCCATTGGTTAATGGACAAAACAGCACAAAAGTGTTGGACAAGAGCCATACGAGAAATATGTAAAATAACTAAGCAAGTATTAGACATCACCCCAGAATTGGCCCTACTAAACATCTTCCAAGACAACAATGCCCATTTACACCACAAAGAACTCATAACCCACCTACTTTCAGCAGCCAGGAACACCATAACCAGACACTGGAGAGACCTGTCAGGAGTAAGCATGGACCAAGGGTACCAAACAGTATGGGAAACAGCCCTACTAGAAAAATTAACCAATAAACTGAAACTGACACAGGGACAAACAGAAGAAGACGCCTTTACCCCGGTATGACACCCCTTTATCACATACACAGCCCAACAAGACAATGACAAGAATCCACCAACAGCATACAAATCAATATGGCTAACTTGATCCAAAACACCCACCCACCCCACTCACACAAAAACAAAGATCACCACAGCCAATCACAAGCAAACAATCACACCCTAGGCCAACCCCAAGCTCTCTCACCACCAAAGGAACACAAGTGAACAGCACAAGCAACGCTGACACCAAACCCTACATAAATTAAGCATAATAGAAACATCGCCACCCGACCCCACCCCCACCCATCTTCCCTCCCTCCACCCCTTTTTTTCTTTTTTTCTTTTCTTTTCCCCCTAATGTCTCAACAAATGAAACGGATTTGTAAAAAGGTTACATGGAAAAAAATACGAGGCATTACACTTACTTCTGTAAAACAAGAAAATCTTTAATAATTTTTTTTTTAAAAAAAGTGTTATTACAGTAGGACCCTATTACACATAGTTTTCAGAAACCGAGTTTCAAGTTCTGCGTGACCTCCGTTTCAGAATTACACTTTTGTCTAACCAGTAAAGCCCAGAATTCAAAAGGCCCTGTACAGGGGTGGGGAACCAACGAGCCTTCAGATTTTGTTAGACTACAACTCCCATCATCCATGACCATTGACCATGCTGGTTAGGGCTGATGGGAACTGGAGTCCAACAATATCTGAAAGGCCACTGGTTCCCCACCTATGGTCTAGCACATGGTTACTGTCATGAACTGGTTGGGCGCAGAAGAACGGTGGAACGAATCAGCTGGGGAACCACCAAGGGAAGAAGGCTCAGAGCCCGGGAAGTGGTGGGAGAAGATGGGGAGGAGGAGGTATTGGAAGCTGAAGGGACAACAACAACAACAACAACAACAACAACAACAATTTATTTATATCCCACCCTCAGCCAAAGCCGGGCTCAGAGCGGCTAACAACAGTAAAATAATACAGCATTCTAAAATCAATTCATTATAAAATCAGTTCAATTCAAATTGATGGCAACCATTGGGCTAGAGTTCTGTGAAGAATTACCAAAGGAGGGGGTCAGGCTGTGCCTTGGCCAAAAGCCTGGTGGAACAGCTCTGTCTTGCAGGCCCTGCGGAAAGATGTCGAGTCCCGCAGGGCCCTAGTCTCTTGTGACAGAGCGTTCCACCAGATCAGAGCCACAGCCAAAAAAGCCCTGGCTCTGGTTGAGGCCAGCCTAACCTCCCTGTGGCCCAGGACCTCCAAGATGTTATTGTTTGAAGACCGTAAGGTCCTCCGTGAGACATACCAGGAGAGGGCGGTCCGGTAGGTAGAGGGTCCTAGGCCGTATAGGGCTTTAAAGGTTAAAACCAGCACCTTAAACCTGATCCTGTACTCCACCAGGAGCCAGTGCAGCTGGTATAGCACTGGGTGAATGTGATCTCGCAGCGAGGACCCTGTAAGGAGTCTCGCAGTGGCGTTCTGCACCCGCTGGAGTTTCTGGGTCAGTCTCAAGGGCAGCCCCACGTAGAGCGAGTTACAATAATCCAGTCTGGAGGTGACCGTCGCGTGGATCACAGTGGCTAGGTCAGGGCGAGAGAGGTAAGGAGCCAACTGCATAGCTTGGTGGAGATGAAAAAATGCCGCCTTTGTTATAGCTGCAATCTGTGCCTCCATGGAAAGGGAGGTGTCGAAGATTACACCCAAACTCTTAACTGACGGTGCTGGCACTAATTGCGCCCCCGCAAGAGATGGGAGTTGCCCCCCCAATCCCATATCGTCCCAACCCAGCCAAAGGACCTGGGCTTAGTTTGCTGGGAGAGTCTGGCAGAGATAAGCCTAGAATCAGAGACAGAAGCTGAAGCCTAAGGGTGGAGGCCAAGAGGCAGAGATGAGTCTGGCTGACAAAGAGTCATGAGTGTCTCCCCTTCCTCTCCCGATTTGTCTCCCAGAACCAGTAGAGGCATGAAAAGGTAGAAGGGGAGTTTGGCTGTGTGCTGGCGGAGTCTCTGATTGCTTGGAAAAGAAAACCTGCAAAGGAGGGGATTTAGATGGTTGTGGGTTGGTGGGAACCTTCAGTCTCAGCAACTGCTTCATTGGGGTCTGACCTTCATTGTTGTTTGTTGTTTAGTCGTTTAGTCATGTCCGACTCTTTGTGACCCCATGGACCAGAGCACGCCAGGAACTTCTGTCTTCCACTGCCTCCCGCAGTTTGGTCAAACTCATGCTGGTGGCTTCGAGAACACTATCCAACCATCTCGCCCTCTGTCGTCCCCTTCTCCTTGTGCCCTCCATCTTTCCCAACATCAAGGTCTTTTCTAGGGAGTCTTCTCTTCTCACGAGGTGGCCAAAGTATTGGAGCCTCAGCTTCAGGACCTGTCCTTCCAGTGAGCACTCAGGGCTGATTTCCTTCAGAATGGAGAGGTTTGATCTTCTTGCAGTCCATGGGACTCTCAAGAGTCTCCTCCAGCACCAGAATTCAAAAGCATCAATTCTTCGGCGATAAGCCTTCTTTATGGTCCAGCTCTCACTTCCATACATCACTACTGGGAAAACCATAGCTTTAATTATACGGACCTTTGTTGGCAAGGTAATGTCTCTGCTTTTTAAGATGCTGTCTAGGTTTGCCATTGCTTTTCTCCAAAGAAGCAGGCATCTTTTAATTTCGTGACTGCTGTCACCATCTGCAGTGATCATGGAGCCCAAGAAAGTAAAATCTCTCACTGTCTCCATTTCTTCCCCTTCTATTTGCCGGGAGGTGATGGGACCAGTGACCATCATTAGGCTGACCTTCATTAGGCTGTGCAAACCATCTCTCTCTTTTTTCTAATAAAGAGTTAACTCCAACTGTGTGATTTACTGCTGACTGGCTTCTGACAGTTGGGGAACCCTTTTCAGCCTGAGGGCTGGCATTCCCTTCTGGGAAAGTTTCTGGTATCACCTGCCAGTAATGAGGGGGAGCAGATGCAAAGGGGAGCAATTTTATCTTTGTCCAGTTGGCTACTTTCTATACACCCCTTCCTGTTGCTTATCCAAGCCAACGTTATCATAGTTCAGGGACACATTCCAGTCAGACAAAAACACTCAAGGAGTAGCTAAAAGGAAAAGAAAGAAAGATGTAAATTGACTAAGTAAAATTTTATGTGAAAATAGTTTTGGAAAACTGCTACAATGGACTACAGTGGTACCTCGGGTTACATACACTTCAGGTTGCATATGCTTCAGGTTACAGACTCCGCTAACCCAGAAATATTACCTCAGGTTAAGGACTTTGCTTCAGGATGAGATCAGAAACCGTGCTCTGGCGGCGCAGCAGCAGCAGGAGGCCCCACTAGTTAAAGTGGTGCTTCAGGTTAAGAACAGTTTCAGCTTAAGAACGGACCTCCGGAACGAATTAAGTACTTAACCTGAGGTACCACTGTATATGGAAACTCAGCTAGGAGGATTCGAGGAAGTCATTTAATAATGCTAACAAAAATGGAATTATTATAGTTAAGATAAATGTTTGTTTGTTTATTTGTTTGTTTGTTTTTTGATGTTTTCTGTTTGATATAAAATTGGAAAATCAATTTTTTTAAAAAAAAACACACTCAAGGAGGGTACAATGCAAGGTCAGTAAGAGGCGTGAATCTCTGTGGGGGGGTGTTGTGAGAAGAGCGCAAGGGTCAGTTACAGAGTTTTGGACAGTCATTTTTGTCTGGTCTGGTGGATTGAGAAATCCCCCACTGTTTAAATAATATTTGGGTCACTTTATAATGAGCTCCCTCCATAAACAATGGGGGTTGTGTTTTTTTAGGCCGTGGTGGGGAGAAGATAACTTAAGATGGAGAATTCTAAATTGGCTCCCAGTTGTGTTGGCACATAACAGTGCCACACTGGAACCAAAGCACAGCGATGGGCAAGCACCAGCACATTGTCTAAGTGCCTGTTACTTATGTGTCCCTAATGCTGGTGTCCAGGGCTGGATATGGAGGAGAAGGCATGAAAAGCTTTGATGACAGCCTTGCCCTCCAGTCAGCAGAAGGATGGAACAGACAGATGCCTATTCCAGTGGCACACACCCCTGCTCCTTCTTCCTACGCGGAAGTGAGTGAAGTAAACAGACAAATAATAGTAGCAGGATCTGTTGTCGTGCTTCCGTGTTGGCTTTCAGCAGCGTACAGCTTACATTTCGGCTGTGGTTTTACGGTTTCCTTCATTGTACGTTACCGGATTTTCTCCACTCTTCTCTGCGTAACGAAAACATCTTGCCTTTCATCCCCTAAAAATATCAGCCTGATGAGGAAAACTGATAAAACATTGATTTCCCCTTTTGGCCCATCTGTATCTTTTGACACTTTGCTCATAATTCTCGTCCTGTGGAATTTGTGGTTTGGATAGTCAAAGGTTCCTTTTCGGCTGCCCGTGTTGGCCTTATAAAAATTCTCTTTCCCTTTTCATTTCTTTCCAGTGTGCCTACTTCCTATGTAGTGAGAGAGCTTCAGTTTCCTTCGACTTCTTCCCCATGCATCCCATCCCTCAGCAGATGCTATATTCTGCACTGGTGAGATGTTCTACGGGAGCCAATATCTACACAGCTCTGTGCTTGCAACCAGCGTGGAGCTCAGCAAATTCCAATCCAGCTACACTGCGTACGAATCGCTTGGGTATCTTTAGCCCTTTGCTGAGTGTGTGATGGTGATAGGAGCTGAAAATCTCGCAAAGCCCATTGCACGCTGATGGAGCAAACTGAGTGAGGAGTGATACAAACTGCGTGAAACTGAATAATATTTGTTCACTCGACCCGGATCTGGCTGAGGAGGAGCATTTGAACATGGGCAAGGGCTGGAGAGGGAAACAAATGGGCATGCAAGTCTCCCAAGGGAAACAAAAGTGCTGTTTAAGAAGAGAGAGCTTCCATTATCACATCTTCCCTTAGAATCTGTGATAAGCTCTTAAGAGAGCTAACAGGAAGAGGCAGCAATTTGGAAATACAGAGGAAAATGTGAAGTGGATTTTCCCCTGTAAACCTCAAACTGACATAGAGAATTCTTATTTCCTCTCCTGCTTCAATAAGTTACTGATTCCATCATCATCATCATCATCATCTCTAACAACAACAACAACAACAACAACAATTTATTATTATTTATACCCCGCTCATCTGGCTGAGTTTCCCCAGCCACTCTGGGCGGCTTCCAATCGAGTGTTAAAAACAATGCAGCACTAAATATTAAAAACTTCCCTAAACAGGGCTGCCTTCAGATGTCTTTTAAAGAGAAGATAGCTGCTTATTTCTTTCACATCTGAAGGGAGGGCGTTCCACAGGGTGGGCGCCACTACCGAGAAGGCCTTCTGTCTGGTTCCCTGTAACCTCACACTGAGGGAACTGCTAGAAGGCCCTCGGTGCTGGATCTCAGTGTCCGGGCTGAAAGATGGGGGTGGAGACGCTCCTTCAGGTATACTGGGCTGAGGCTGCTTAGGGCTTTGAATTGTGCTCGGAAACGTACTGGGAGCCAATGCAGATCTCTCAGGACCGGTGTTATGTGGTTCCGGCAGCCACTCCCAGTCACCAGTCTATCTGCCGCATTCTGGATTAATTGCAGTTTCCGGGTCACCTTCAAAGGTAGCCCCACGTAGAGCGCATTGCAGTAGTCCAAGCGGGAGATAACTAGAGATGCACCACTCTGGCAAGACAGTCCGCGGGCAGGTAGGGTCTTAGCCTGCATACCAGGTGGAGCTGGTAGACAGCCGCCCTGGACGCAGAATTAACCTGCGCCTCCATGGACAGCTGTGAGTCCAAAATGACTTCCAGGCTGTGTACCTGGTCCTTCAGGGGCACAGTTACCCCATTCAGGACCAGGGAATCCCCCACACCTGCCCGCCCCCTGTCCCCCCAAAACAGTACTTCTGTCTTGTCAGGATTCAACCTCAATCTGTTCTTCCTCCTCCTCCTCCTCCTCCTTCTTCCCCTCCTCCTCCTCCTCCCTTCTCCGTTCTTATTATATCTGATTTGTCACCTGTAGGCAACTTACATCAAAAAACCACCATCAAGCTGTAATGGGATGTATTTGTCCACATACAGTACAGCGGAAAAGTAGTCGGAAGCACCATTTACCTGCCTTCTCAATGCTGGGGGTGTTCGGTAAATTCCCCTTGGGGTTACAAGTGCAATTTGGCTCACACCAAATTCCTTTAAAACAAACAAACAATTTTTTTATTAGTTTTCCTATATTAACCCAATATTACCACACTTTTGACAATTATACAGATAACAATTAATATAAAAATTATTCCAACTAGTTCCAAATTTATAAAATTTAATCCAAGTGGTTTCCCACGCTCCTTGATCAATGTTTTTTGTCCAGTTCTTATATTGCCGCCTTTCATTTTTAAAAATGAACTTCTAATTACATATCAGTTGGTATATTAATCGTTAAGATGACAGCTGCATTTTTAGCGATTACTATTCGTGTTATTACGTTATCTAACTTTTCATAGGATTTCAAATGAGGTACTCTAATTATTTCCCTTTTCTCTCTGTGTGTTGGTCTGAATATATCCAGTTATGAAGTCCTTGATGTTTATCTGCTGTTCAGTTCTTGAAATTCCTCCATTTGCTGTTGCCTCTCAGCATAGCTGGGATGGGGCTATAATCCTGGAGGATTCTCAAAATATCTCACTAGCTGCCTCCCATCGTGCTCTCATCTTGCTTGGTGTTTCCAGACAACAACAGTCCAACAGTCCACTCTTTCTCACAGGACAGGGTTCAAAGAGAGCATTTCATGAGGACACACACTATATGGCCAAATATACATAATATTTGCTGTTCATTCTTTACCCAACCACCCTCTGCCACCTAAGCACGTCACCATCTCTCGTCCAACCAGAGTCCTTGGAAAGCCCTTACTCAACCCATTTTTCACTGTGTGTGTGTGTGTGTTGGAACCCTCCTTGTACCTTAACACAAGTTGTTTCTCACTTTAACATTCAGTCATTGGGTTCCTCCTTAACTGGCTCTTACAAATTTGGTGATCAGGTTACCTTCTTGCATACGCGACATCACTGTGCATGAGTTTAACAGAAATTCCACTTCTGGGGCCACTGACAGTTACTGTGAGTGAGAGGGACAAGGTGGTGGGGAGGTCAGGGTACGTGCTGTCATGGACCCAATCCGACATCCCCAGTACTGTGGCCACACTGCGCCTACTATCCCACCACCTCCCCTCCCCTCTCTTGGTAATGGGCAGCAAGCCCAGCATGGGGAAGTTAGGCAACAAACTGTGGTTCCCAGAATTCTGTGGGGGAAGCCATGACTGTTTAAATTGGCATGGTGCTGCTTTAAATATATAGTGCAGACAGGGCTTATAATGGTCTGACAAGGCACTTTCCTATATTCCTAAAACAGGGTACCCCTAAAACAGGCAACCCCAAATGTTGTTGGATTACAATTCTGGGGCTGGTGCAAGTTAAAGAGTCCAATAACATCTGAGAGGGACATGTTCCCAATTTCTGTCCTGAGGTATTGTACTGGTATAATGTTTGTTGTCAGAAATGATGTGTCCCCATTGCGGAGGCAGTCCGGGTAGAAATTTTATAATAAACATACAAACACTCATATGGTGTCTCCAATTCAAAATTACCCTTCGGTATATCTCCCCTGACTGTGAAGCCGTGAAACATAGATTATTGATGGCACAACAGGGCTCAAGATTGAGGTTCTTTTTTTGTTTGGTTGTTTACACTGTTTGCTCTGTAGAACAGAGGCGAGGATCCTTCAGCGCAGTCACCACTTTTTAACATCAAAAGCATTGTCTTCTCAAAATGACAACCTCATAACAGAAGTGGGCGAGGCTGGAAGTTCTTCACAAAGAAATCTCCCGGGAGCCTCAAGAAAATGGGATTTGTAACATGTTGGTGGACACAATTGTCTGGCTTCACCTTGACGAAAACAAACATGCGCAAAGGGTGGCATTCTTTCCCAACAAAGAGTTTGCTAACCTCGCTCCCTGGAGCTACATTCCTCAAACTGGACAATTGCCAATTTTCAGAAGCGTACAAGAAAACAATGATAAGGTGTCACATGAACGATGCTTTGGTTTAAGGCTCTGAGTGAGGAGTAGAGAAGAATGAAACTGCCATATTTTTCCATGTATAAGACTAGGTTCCCCCCTAAAAAATAATGTCAAAAATTAGGAGGGGTGTCTTATACATGGATATATCTCCCCCCATTTTCTTAAATCTGAGTCCCCCCAAATAGGGGGCACCTTACACATTGGGGCATCTTATAGACGAAAAAATACGGTACTTCTTTGGATTCCATCTTATATTTTTATACCCCTATTTTCAGTTATGAGCCTGAACGCTTAAGATGGTGTTAAAGACAGGGTGGTAAGGAAGTGAGTGACTTCTGTAAACAGAATGCTTCTTCCGCTTTTGCCTACATGAATTACTTGGTTTGCCACCTGTTACTGCTTAGTCAACACAATAAAACTTAATCAAAATTTAGGCTAAAGGGGTTCTGATGGTCTGAAAGCATTTATTGTGTCTATAAAGTGATTAAGCCCTAAATGTTTCTAAATGGCCTGGTAGGATCTGAGATAAAGATTATAAATGGTCAACTGTAACAAAGGTTTTTCAAAATGCCAATGGACCCATTGCCTCGTCTGCAAAGGAGGTGGCAGGTTATAGGATCTTGTTCATAAACATGTAATTTTGCAAATGATATAATGCTCAAGGTCCAAAGAGGTAGATGATGATCCGGCATGTAGGGGAAGGTGTTTCCATTGGCAGTTTTGAAAAAACAACAGCTCTGCACAATATCTTGTTGCTATGCTGTCCGATAGCCAAAGATGGAAAGCCAGAATAACGATTGTTATTTATTAAATTTTAATACCGCCCTATACCCGCAGGTCTCAGGGTGGTTCACAAGATACAATTCATCTGGACTGTGGCTGGATTATCTTTGGGGAGGCAGAATTGAGAGTTGTGTGCAAACAGCCTCCTGAAATTCCCAGCCCTATTTGCAGGCATGGGAACTGGGGAAAATACTTCACTGGCTCAGTGGCGTAGCGTGGGGGGTGCAGGGGGGGCCGGCCACACCGGGCGCAACATCTGGGGGTTAGGGTTAGGGGGCGCAAATCCACGGGTTAGGGGGCGCAAATTACTTGCCTTGCCCCGGGTGCTGACAACCCACGCTACGCCACTGCACTGGTTTTCTCCAGGGTGAGGAGAAATTCTCAAAAAAAAAAAAAAAGAAAAGAAAAGAAAAGAAAAGAAAAGAAAAGAAAAAGGAAAGTGAGGTGAGCACAGTTTCTTCCTTTTCCTTTGCAGTGTGTTGGCAACCTATTTACTATTTTGCATCTTCCAGAGTTCTCCGCACCTATGTATTGTTCTCAGGGCACTGGGGGGGGGCTGCCATTTTTTAAACCCTTGTTGTTGTTTAGTCGTTTAGTCGTGTCCGACTCTTCATGACCCCATGGACCAGAGCACGCCAGGCACTCCTGTTTTCCACTGCCTCCCGCAGTTTGGTCAAACTCATGCTGGTAGCTTCGAGAACACTGTCCAATCATCTCGTCCTCTGTCATCCCCTTCTCCTTGTGCCCTCCATCTTTCCCAACATCAGGGTCTTTTCCAGGGAGTCTTCTCTTCT